CGGAAAATTTCGCACCGCGGCACCTTGCGCGGTCATCGAACGTGTCCCGTACTTCAGCAGTGCAAGTACACGGAGGAACGCCCTGGGGCGATCAGGCGGGCAGTACCGTGCACAAGGCGCAGTTAATGCGGTACCTTCTCTTAAAGGGATACTTCAACAAAATTTCAAATATACCCGTTGTGTTCTGAAATAGGCTGAATATAATCCACCATATTCGTAAATGGCAATTGCATGTTTGTATTTAGAGCCTGATGGCTGTATTTGTCGTTATAAACGGCTCACTCTGGCAAGCGCTCGGAGAGCAGCAAGCAGAGAGCACGTCACATCCGGCGCAGTCGTGACGTAATTTGTCAAGGGATGAGCACACCTGCGGCGAGGTGGACGTCCTCAGAATGGCCTAACGAGATACAATGTTTACGAAGGTATAAAAAAAAAAAAAACGAAAAAAACAGCATGATAAAGCAACCACATTTTAGTGCGATAGCATATTTAGCTACTTCACCCGGATTTCGCGATACCGAAACTGGCGTCGTTAACGAAAGAAAAAGGTAAATCCGCGTCGCGCGTATGTATGCGAAGCGGCAGGACGTACTCCTTCACATGCAGCACCCAGCAGAGAACGCATGCGCACTCTGTGCTCGCACCCGATTGGCTACAGCTCAAAGAATAGACTACTTCCATAAAGCCCTGCATGCAACACGGCGCGCGTTGCACTCTGGGAACTAGTTGGCCAGGGAGGAGAGTGGCATGGTTTCGGTTTCGATCGACACGTCGACAAGAGATTATACGCAGAGCGTGGACAATTAACGGACGTTATCTCATGTTTTCTAATCCAGAGAGCGTCATTTGTGGTCTCTAAACTGACCTAAACGGCCAGACCTCGAAGCTTTAGCACAAGCCCGAGACGTATAGCTTGTTTTAATACATGCTTGTTGTATTTTTGTACTTGAGCCTTCCTGTTAGCGTTCCAATCGAGGTATGTGGAAGAGCCAGTGCTGGGAATGTCGACGCTGCGGAGCTCGGGGATCTTGCTTATGTACGAATCAACAAGCTGTAGCAACCAATAAGTATGCATACATCGAGCTCGCGCCTTTACATTAGTGTTGTTGATCAGGAAGTTTGTTTGTTTCGTGCCTCCATAGACGAAATATTACTTTTTGCAATTACTGTTTTCTTAATACGCCTGTGTACGCGAGGTAAAACTCGGAGGCGCCATTGAAAAGCTCAATTATAACACACCTCTTATCTCTTATCTGTACGGACCCGCAGCACTGCACGAAGCGAAGGGCCCCACCCACTTGCATTTCACTAATATTCAACATCGCGTATGCGCGTAAAGTTATCCTGCAATCATATAGGCACATTCGCACATACAAACCGTTTTAAGAAAGCAAAAGTCGAGCACTTGTGTGAAAATGGTCGCACCATTCGCCAGAAGTACGCCGGACGGGCATGAACCCCTATGCGGTGCGCCAAACGAACGAAATTATTCAAGGTGCATTTGACGGTTGCTAATGGCCATAATATTTATTATGTGATTGCTTTCTTCCTGCCTGAGTATGCCGATATAATTTCAGACACAACGTTCAGGTACAGATCTTGGGCGTCAGTAAAAGCTCGTCCAAAAAGGCTTAGCGAGGAGTAGGGGACGCTTGTTAGGGCCTCCGTTGTAGCTAGCCGATCTCAGCGTTTGCGAAAACTTAATCTTCTATCAGCATAAAATTTGGGTGGGAGATATATGATGACACGAGGAAGACATTATAGAAACTTTGGTGCAGTAGAGAGGTCGAATTTATTGCGTTTCCTTAAAAGTTCATGCGTCAACGCTGGGCTCAACTTTGATACTCCTGTGAGGATGCGGCTTGCTTTTCGCCCAATGAAGTAACAAGAAGCGGACGTTTGGCAAACAAAATACTTGTAATGCTCCAGGTGACCGAATTTCACTTGTAGTTCACTGGTACTAGACGGGATTACTGACACGAGCTCAAAGATGCACTCGTGGGGTGAGGGGACTAAGCCACGTCTTACTACGTTTGCATTCGCACTCACAATATCCGGTGTTTCGGGAACCAAGGAAAGTGCCCCGGTTTTCGTTTTTGTATTGCTCGAGAATGAGTGTATTGTACATTCGTAAAAAAAGTCAGATAATCGAAAACGCAAGCAGCGCGTTCGGTCGCGGCGTGATAGCACGAGATGAATCTGCTCAGTCGAAACCGAAACTGAGTGGCCAACTAGTTCCCAGAGTGCACTGCGTGGCATTTTGCCGCAATGGGGCGCGTCGGTTTTGGAAGAAGTCCATTATATCGGCGCCGCACATACGGGGACCGGCAGTACGTGTTCGCGCCCAACCTGCCAAGCAATCACTCAATTTCAAAGTGGCGCGCCGACGTCTATGATTGCGTCGTAAAACATGTATAAAATAAAGTGTTTACTCAAAGTTGGCGTCGTGGTATTCACAGTGAGCTGCGTCGTGAGCGAATGTCAAATTCTATCGCAAATTAATATACAAAAAGCAATAGGTGTTTTTGTTACTACGAAAATGTAAAATCGAGAAATGGGTTGAGTTGAATCCCTAGGCGTCACACACGAAGTGGTCACGTTTATGAATGGGTGATGCGCAATCTTTTCGCCGGAGCCGGAAGATTAACTCACGATGCGGGCTATGTTATCAAGACTAAAATTGTTCTGGTTTGGTTATCTGTGTTTTCACGATTGCGTTCAGATAAGCATGCCTGTGTTGTAAATACGTGTGTGTGTGCCTGTCTTGTTAATACGTTTGGTTGCGTATGTGTCTGTGTGTATGTGCAGTTGCGTTTGAGTGTGCGCGTGTATTTGATCATAAAAGAACGAACGATAAAAAAATTCCCTCCGTTTTCGCGCCGCCGGCCTTTTGCCTGCTACACAACTGCTAATTTCAGCGTACCCCAGCGCTTCCCACGCCTTTCAAGTCGTCCTAACCTTGAATGATTTAGGGGTTCTTGATGATGCTCACTACGTTTCGAATGAGAACCATGGGTTTATTTTCACGTATTAATAGAGTGAATGAGTAAATATGAGGTAATTAGTTAAGTCTCTAATATATATATATATATATTTTTTTTTTTGCCATTTCTAAAGGTTGTTGTGGCTGATAGTTTTTCCCGAAAAGGGTTCTTTCTTTTTCTTTTTCTACCAACCAAGTTCTGGAGGGTTTCGGAATTATTCACAGAAAGAAGCACTCATTAGGAGTCTATGATTTAAGTTAAAAAATTGGTAGTGGAGGAAGAATAATGCGTCTTTGGCCAAAAGAAACAATTACTAAACACGAGGTAATTAGTGTAGTAATCAGTATGGGTTTTTGCAATTTCTCACGTCCGCGGTGGCTTGTGGATTGTTCCCGTAAATAGTATATTTTGTCTTAGCCACTCAAGTCATAGGGAAGCGGTCGTATCTTTTGTTATGGTTAGCAGACCTGACGGGCTTGCCGATGTTGTCAGAGCCTGCAGGTCCTCAGACAGGTGTGTGAACGTCCGATGCACCTCGAGGTGATCTAGGGAGGCCATTGGGTTGGTTGACACCGGACGCAAGATCGTTAATAATACGAGCCCACTTGCCTGCTTGTTAAGGCTCGGTCACACTCTTGCGACCTCTTAAAACTATGTTCCTTGAAACCTCTTACAACGAGAGGACACACTGGCGCCATCTATTGGGTAGCAGTGTGCGTTTGGGCGGTCCGGCATATTTTCTATTTCTCTCGCGCATTATCCTTTCTTGGCTCGAAAACTTTTGTCAATGTTATAAACGAGCCTTTCTTATAGGTATTACGCACATTTGACCTCGGAAATACCACAAAACCTTCGCTCTTGTGAAATGCAGTTCCAGGGTTACCGCATAGATGGCGCCAGCGTGCCAGTGTGTTCTCTCGTCCTAAGAAATAAGGAGTTTTAACAGGTCTCGTCTCTCTCGGTCGTACTTGGTTGCAGGAGTGAACGGGCCTTTATCCCGCACGAGTGGTACCCCCGCCGTAGTTTATTGATTTCAATCTGCCTTGTCATGCTTTGGCCTCTGCGGTGGTTATTCCTTTTATTATACTTCGTTTCAGCTTCGGTCCGAGCGCGGCCGATGTTATGAGCCGAAGGGCCAATCAAACACCGTAAAAAGCGCAGCGTCATGGCGTGCTCTCTGCGCTTGATAAGACTAGCCGGCGGAGGAGCAGGCACAGAGAGACGGCGAATACCGGCTGGTCCTATCAACTGCAGAGAGCACGCCATGACGTTGTACCTCTTTTGCTGTTTGCTTGGCCTTTCGGCTCATAATATCGGCCGCGCTCGGACCGAAGCTGAAACGAAGTATAGGAGCCAGCGGAATAAGTCGAACAATAGCTATAATTCGATTAATTGCACAGTTTAGGAGCATAGAAATACCATCTCGCATAATATGGTGTAAGAAGGGGAAGGCAACGACCTGGTGACTGAAAACAATACGGTCTAAAATAGAATGAAGTAATTTCCTCTGACGCCAGGCTACAGATAATGGCACGTGATAAACGATCGGTATACCTTGTTTCTTTTTTCTTCAAAAAACGTAAGACTGGAATAGTGCTTAAAACAATAGCATTAAATATTACCTGAACAGATGGTGATGATTTGATATGGCTTTGTTACAGCTGGCGCTTTAAAAAAATTGTATTGTTGGTTTTTTGGTCATTTCTTGGCAGTTTTGTTCTTGAAAGGTATGCACTTAATAAGACTGGTTTGCAATCTTCTGCAACGAAGCGGTGTGCTCTTTACTTTTATTGCATGAAGAAAGGGCAATTTGTGCCCCAGCCGCTCTGGATGCCGAGGCCACTCGGTTACGAACAAGGAAAGTGGGAAATGGCTCACTGTAATTATTCTATTTCATCATGATGAGAAACAATAGATAGAGCGTCACACCTCTCTGCGGTCTTTTCAGTCGTACTTGTGCTGGCCGGCAAGAAGGCCCGATACAGGCTACCGCGAGCGTTCAGGACGCCCCTCGAGATGTTGCCTGTAACGGAGTATTTTATGTTGCCCTTACCTGTCAACAATTGGAGCATCATTGGTTACACCATTGGATCAGTGTTGTTTTGCCTGTCGTGCGTCCTCTACTGGCATCAGCGAAATATTGCCGCGACCAGAAAGAAAGTAAGTTGATCGTTTCAGACTTTTTCTAGACCGATTAGTTCACAGCAGCGTTATCAAAAAAATTATTGACATTAATTTTTCCGTGAAACTTTGTGACGTCGCAAGAACTCCTTGCAACGTGATCTGATGGAGTCAATCAAGTATCGGCAAAAGTGCGTCGTTACGGCGCCCGTTGTGGCTCTGATATCGCCATCTAATCACCGACAGAAAGAGGCGCAGAATCGGGCTGTACTCACTGTGCGAGATTGACGTAATCGGTGACAGTAAACGCACAAAGGCGATGATTGGCCAAGATGATACCCTTTTGGTGCTCCCTGATTGGCTACACAGGGCCGTAGCATCGGCTGTGTTCGTACCTAGAGTGAAAAGGATTGTGCAGGGGCGCGATGCGACGCTTAAACAATGGCGCAAAAAAGTTTGTATACTTCGTTTCAGCTTCGGTCCGAGTGCGGCCGATGTTAGGAGCCGAAGGGCCAATCAAACAGCGCAAAAAGCGCAGCGTCATGGCGTGCTCTCTGTGCCTGGTAGGACTAGCCGGCGAAGGAGCACGCACAGAGACACGGCGAATATCGGCTGATCTTATCAACTGCAGAGAGCACGCCATGACGTTGTGCCTGTTTCGCTGTTTGATTGGGCCTTCGGCTCATAACATCGGCCGCGCTCGGACCGATGCTGAAACGAAGTTTAGTACAAGCGGTCGCGAGCGTAATGCGCAACACGTTAGAAACTGAGCTTCTAGTAACATTGCCTAGAAAGGAAACAACGACCTTTGGTAAAAATGAAAACATTTAACTAAAACGTGCCCGCTAAAAATAAAAATAAAAGGAAAAGAGCGGTTTTTTTTCCCATCGAAATACAAATTTGGGCACTGCCCAACCTCCATTCATTCAAATGTAGCGCTATATCGGTCCGAACCAGATGGCAATGTTTTCAATTATAACCGTTATCTCGCAGGTAAGTTATAAGTTATCTCATGAAATATTTCATGGAAAAACGAGGCCGTTCTCGCCCGTTTTCGGCAAGTCTCCCTGTGTTAGAAAACTCCTCGAGCCGCAATTTTCATATTGAATGTTTCAGAATATCACTTAATATTTGAATGAGACAAAGAATAGTTCTAAAACATTGACATGGATCCGCCCGCTAGCACTATATTTGGTCATGCATAATTAATTTTTGCAGCAAAAAAAGAATATTTACATATACATCTTGTTTCTCTTTTCTTTAAGGGGGAGGGGGTTGAGGCTTATTTTGTATTGGTGGGCTCCCATTAGGTCGCGCCGCTGGTCGACAAGCGTGTTTTTCGCAGCGTTGTGTTTGCGGGCACTACCGGCTTGAAGGGCGGTTCACACACTTGCATGATCCGGACCGAGTGCGGCCTGCAACGGCTATCGATATTAATCCTTTTACGGGTTCCTGCGGTGACGGGGTCTCGAGCCGCTTACAATCGTCCCGTTTCCGTAGCAAACCGTGAAATAAGATTAACGCCCCAAAACGTTAACGTCGCGCTCGGTCGGACTCATGCCCCAGTGTGTGAACCATCCTAAAGAAACGCATGGTACGGCGGGTAAAGGCCATCTTATTATCGCACCGCAGCCAATGGAATTGCAGCATCAGACAATAGGAAGGCTGAACAACGAATCACAAAGCGAGATAAACATGAACATATGACGTTACGCCCTGCGAGGCCTTTGCTATCAGTGATGTCTATCTGTCATGCCCACAATCAGCAATTCCTAATGTTCCTGAGTCTCTGAATACACCTGCGAGATTAGAAATTCCGAAGAATCGGTGCCAGGTTTGAATGGTGGTGCGGCCCGAGTGCCAAACAAGATGGATATTTTTTTGGCCAATGAGAGTGCAGGAATTTGGGGAGCAATGACGCTGGATGTTTTAACGCTCTAAATTGAACAAATCAAGACCAATGACTCGTGTACATTGCGAAGTGTACGGGTAGGCATATTCGAGGTTTTAGATTGTTTCACTCTCTTGAATTCGTATTAGCTACAATTCAGCTGATGAACTAACGTCGCGTTAGTGCCCTTTTTCTTTATTGTTTTGTCAATTAGACGCATGAAGAAACGAGTGCGTACTCTAATTGCTGCACTGGTGGCTAAATCGATCATAATTTTAAATAGAAGATATAATCCTGAAGATAAGGTGTATTTTTCACTGTGCCTTATTCGAGGGGGATATTATATGATTATCTGTCCAATGTACATATGAGAGCCTATGCAAAACTTGGAGGACGCTTAAGCTGAGGCTTTACGAGTGGAACGCGATAGCGTTATCTGGACCCGTTCGCATCGCCTTCCCATTTGCTTCTCATGCTCTTCCAGCCAGTGAGAAGGAAGTGTAGCGGACATAGCCTACACTCTAGAAAAAGTCTGTGTGTCTTCTTTCACGCACAATACTCGGAGAGCAAATCACCGCAACTTACAGAGGCAGCTCAGCGAATGACGATCCGAAACGTATGTTTAGACCAAAAAATGGAGTCTGAGTTGTGACATTAAGCAATGCAAAACGTCACTCTTGCATTGCTTGATGTCACAACTCAGACTGCGTTTTTTGGTCTAAACATAGGTTTCGGCATCGTCATTCGCTGAGCTGCCTCCATAAGTTGCGTTGATTGGCTCTCCGATTGTTGTGCGTGAAACAAGACGCAGACTTTGTGTTAGAGTGTAGACAGTAGCGTGTCTGGCTCGCAACCAGAGTCGTGGGTTGGAATACCGGCTAACATTTTAGAGCGCAGCTCTTAGGGGCCCGTTCCCGGCTTGAGCGGCGTCGGCGTCGCCGTCGGCGTAACCAAGGTCATCCCAAGGTCACGTGACCCCCAAGGTCACGTGACCCCTCCAGGTCACGTGACCCCTCCCAGGGTCATCTCAAGGTCAAGTGACCCCACGTGACCCCTCGAGGTCACGTGACCCCTCCCAAGGTCATCTCAAGGTCACGTGACCCCAAGATGACCCCACGTGACCCGTTGAAGGTCACGTGACCCCCAAGGTCACGTGACCCCCAAGGTCACGTGACCCCCAAGTCACGTGACCCCTCTGAGGTCACGTGACTCCTTTGAGGTCACGTGACCCCCGAGGTCACGTGGTCTCCACTCCAAGGTCACGTGACCCCCGAGGTCACGTGACCCCTCCCAAGGTCACGTGACCCCTCCCAAGGTCATCTCAAGGTCACGTGACCCCAAGGTGACCCCCACGTGACCCCTCTGAGGTCACGTGACCCCCGAGGTCACGTGACCCCTCCAGGTCACGTGACCCCCTGAGGTCACGTGGGGGTCACCTTGGGGCTCACGTGACCTTGATGTGACCCCCATGTGACACCCAAGGTCACGTGACTCCCAGGTCACGCCTCCCCGAGGTCACGTGACCCCCCTCCCCGAAGTCACGTGACACCCCCCCCGAGGTCACGTGACCCCCCCCCGGAGCATATTAAAGAATGAGGGGAGGAGGGGGAGAAGGAGGAGGGGTCTACCCTCCCCTCAGTAGCCTTCACTCCTCCTCCTCAAGAGCTGCGCTCCAATTCGGCGTTACAGGGATTTGTAAACGGCTTTCACTTTTTTTCACTTCAAGTTCATTTAAAACTCACTTTATAGAGTGAAATCGCTTGAGACCTGTCGAGACCTTTAATTCGCATTACATAGCATGCTTTTTAATCACTTTCATTCCACGCGTGACGTCACGTTTCGTGTAAGCGTTGTGGGCTGTTTGAAATTCCTGCGCAAAGTCATGTGGCTGTGACGTGATGACCCTATCGAGCAATCAGGAGTTTCCCGTCACAGCGCCACCGACACCGACGGCGGCTTTTCTGCGACGCGGGCTCCTTAGCGATATCGCGTTTAAATATATCGGTGGTTATAAGCTCGGTGATGCAACTTATGTTTTGCACGTTCTTATCGCACACACCATATATACATACATATATATATATATATATATATATATATCTGTATATATATATATATATATATATTACTGGGGAGCGAATGCTTCCGCGGTTCACACGCGAAAGACAAATTTCCCGCAGTAAAATGCTTTAAGTTCCTATTAATTTAGAAAAACATATTCTGCGCTGGGAATAGCGCAAAAAACGTAACTAAAAGTGTCACAAATTAATTAACATTCAGGACGACCGATATGTTCATTTATTAAAAAGGTATTCATTTTTTTATACATTTTTTCAATCATTCATTTATCACCTAGGCCTCTGATTTCCCTTAGCACGCTGACTAGATTTCGTCCAGCGCCGAGGAAAATGCTGCCATCGGTGCACCGACATACCGATTTCGCCAAAGCAGCAGAGACGGCTGTCTCTGCTGTTTCTAGGTGTTTCCACGGCGATAGATGGTGGCAGGCCCTATTTCAAGTTTAGAGTGTAGAACCCCAAGGCTGCAAGCGTGCTGCAGTCGCGACTACGCAAAACATTTTATAGATTTTTGCTGAGTTAAGGCTGGTTCACACACTTGCGGCCGACTTCGGCCGACTCCGAGGTAGCGGGCATTTAAGCTGCTTACGACCACCATCACTGCTACTGCGCTGCCTGTCGTAAGCAACCATAAAAGGTTGCTTACGCCAGTGCGTGAACCAGCCTTAAGGTCATTCCCCTGGTAAAGTATTTGATTGATGTGAAGGGCGTACGTTATCGCTTCTTTTTTTTTTTTACATGCAGCACATGGTAGGTAACACACACTTTTTCCTTTTACTCGCTCAAGAAGTAAAATTTCGCCATCCCCTCACTTTGGTACCATTTTTTGTTAAGAGTAGGTCTGACCCTTTTTATTGCTGGGGAACCAAATTTTAGGGTACCCCAGAAATACCCACGTGTGTGGTTAAGCTCTATTAGAACCACTGTAATAGGAATGCTTCTTAGCGAGGCGAAATCCTAACTATTTACGGGATGTACGGCGACCAACGCAAATGCTGCTACCATAGTAGGGGAAGCGATATAAGAGATGGTATTACGTGGGAATGTTATGGTACCTGACTGGATAAGAGGGTCACGGCCAGGGTGTAAGGTAGACAGGTGGGGAAATGGCCCATAGAAAGCCTACCGCAGCGCCGTGACCGCATTGTGTACTCGTCTGCTTGCGGGTACCCCCGATTTGCGACAGATGGCGCTGCGGCGAGAGGAAAAAAATCGGAATCGGATTTGCATGAAACTCTATGGGAGAGTGCGCAAAATAAACCGAGAGCACGACAGTCCTCCATTGAAAATCCACGAGAAATCATCTCCGTCAGTTTAGATGGTCACTACCGGTCGCCTACCCAGAGTGAGAGTTCGCGGTGCTCCACATAGATGGCGCCACAGAAAAAGAGAAAACCGAGGGAAACACAATCCGGTCGCTCATTTGGCCCTCGTTTCCCCACCTGTCTATCTTACACCCTGGTCACGGCGTCTCTTTCAGATGCACGGCCTCCGGCACGAGCTTGTTGTCTCCCCGCTTCGGCTGCGGGCGCACCCATGGCGCTCGAGAGACGCTGAAGCGTTACCGAAAGAAGCAGCTCACGCTGGAGACGGGAGAAACGAAGGCCATCCCTGACGTTTTAATTCTCTCCGTATATATAGTAACCTGCATCTGTTCTTTTTTTTTTTTTAATAAATTTTTTTTGGTTGTGGCATGAATGTCCATTTTATGCTCATCTCTTTTCTCAAATATTGAAGAAGATACCTACATTTCCTCTTTTCTTTTTTCACCCAGTTGGAGACACCTCGAATAAGGTTTCCGAGACCAGACCTACCTCCTGTATTCCCGAACGGCTGGATCCCAGTTCTCGAATCAGAGGCTCTCGGAATTGAAGCGGTGAAGCGCTTGGATGTCCTTGGTAGGCGCATTTGTATAAGATAATCTTTGAGCGTTAGTGTCTCTGGGTTGTAGCCAGATAATTTCTTCTGCCTTATAATAGCACTTAGCAATTTTGTTGGAATCGCGAGACCAAAAATAGGACTTATCTTCACTTGTCATGGCAAAATATGCGGTGAAGTCGCTTTTACTTGCCGGCACTTTAACAGACAGCTGCTTCAATGTGAACGCTGCCACGGAAGTTGCATTTTGTTTTTAACACAAGATGCGTTATATTATAATTGACCCTCAACACTTTTCATTAACGCGAATTGCTGTAACAGATGGGCGTCGCACCAAAAATTGCCAGTAACAAAAAAAAAAAAAAAAGGAGAGTGCGTTGCCACACTAGGTCTGCCAACAGCGCAAGAGGGAAGAACGAGTTTGAAATGTCGTAACGACAAGGCAGTGAGCGCACTCGCAGGTACGCTGGGAGGGTGTCCGGGGGGCGAAGGAACAAGCCCGTCTCCGGAAAAAAAAACGAACGGGGCGACGCAAAATAGAGGAGTCTCCGCTGGAAGGCGAGAGCACAAGAGAGAGGAACATTGCCTTCTAGTCCCATTCGAGCGCTAGGTTTTTGCAGTGCTTTCTTTCAGACGGCTTAAGCCTAACACACCTTGAGCCAAAAATCGCGTCGCATCGCGCCGCTAACGTCGCTCGCGCTTTCACGGGACGGCACAGCATTGGCGGTTCCTATGGCTACGCCGCTTGGCGACTCGACACGACGCGGTACATTCTCACATGTGTTTCACGCTTTACGCGCAACGAAGTTGGCGCCATCGAGGAAAACAATACGTACCAAGTTTATATGCGCACCATGTCTGCAACAAATGCCATTTTTATTGGTTTTTGTTTTTATTGATTTTATAGCTGTTCAACCCTAAGCAATAATTTTTTTCTTATTTTGTTGTTACATTTCTCTATTACTGCTGTGCATTTACTACATTTCTTGATACTTTTGTATAACATCTTGTGAAGTAATATGTGCTCGCCCCTCCTACCCCAGCCTCCAAGAGAAGGTGAACGGTAGATATAAATAAATAAATACGATACAAGCACAGCAACGCACAATACATTTTCTGCTACTACTGTCCTTGTCGTGACAGTAAGATTGGGTAGTCAATTATTTAGTGAGCGTTTGCCTAATGCTTAAAACCAAATTTAGCTTCCCTCTTCGTTTTTCTTAGGAGTTTTAAGAAATAAAATTTATATCTAAGTTGAAGAATTAGAATGTTTACCGCATGAAAGAACTTGGTGTGTGCAGTAAGAAATTCGTAATATAATTTTTATTATAAGAACACCAATAAGTATTGCACACTATGATACAAAGAAAGCACATTAAACACAGTATTTTAAGTACCTCATCTGTGTAGTGAAACCTCGCCACCAAGATGTTTCAGCAGTCATTTTTTTTCAATGAACTATTCAATTTCAAGATAAAAACAAAAATAAGTATATGAAAAATTTAATCAGCTTCAATTTAGGTACTCCTTGTCACCATCAGCTGATCGAAGTTCAGAAAATCGAGAAGGCTCATGATGCTCTCGCGATCATGATGCTCTCGCGATCTACAGATCTGATACCTCAGTTGTCTGGAGCAGCCAAAAAGGCCGTGACACACTGTGATAGCATCATAGGGAAATTCTTTGTGCAGGTTTAGAACTGGTTGCGTTTCGCACCAAGGACGGCGTGGCCCACGTGACGGACGCTCACTGTCCCCATCTCGGAGCACATTTGGGAGTCTTGGGAAGAGTGGTCGGCGACTGTATCGAATGCCCTTTCCACGGTTGGAGATTCAATGGTGACGGGGCTTGCGTACACGTGCCATACGACGCCAAAGGTAAGCTTTCAATCCAGATTTGATTTCTATGGGATCAACACATGCTCTAATCATTTGCACCAAATGGAGCTTTACACGCAGATCACGTCATTTAAGGTAAGGATTTTTAAACTTTCTAAAGTCTTTGAAAGAGCTCAACACGCAATAATTGAATATTATGCATTATTTATATCACTAAACCATAAAACCAAATGAAAACGAAGTGCAATGAAAACCATACTGCGTCTCATCCTATGATGTAATAAAGGCAAAAGTCACGGGCCGCCAAGTCCAATCACGTTCCACGCTGAACAATGACATGTTTAATATTGATTAGGGGTGCACGAATAATGCTCTATGGCTTCGACACTGCAAAGAGCCTATATGTCGTCGCTTCCTTTGCAACGTAACATGGATGAATCACTGAGTGCTTTTCGATTCGAACCACTGTCCGCCCATCCCATTTAGTGATCCGAGATCCGGGCACCGATGCGTGCATCGAAGCGGATTACCGTGTAATTCCTAAGTGACTCGTAATTGGATATGGCGCTTCGTAGCTTTAGCCTTTAGTCCGTCGTAAGGTGAGACGAAGTATAGATTCAGAAATTAAGAACAAACAATGCATCGTTTTCTTTTTATCTTAGTTACTCGGAAAAGAAAATTTAACCGAAGAATAACTCCGATCCCTTGATGTATTAAAAAAAAAAGTTTATCAAAAGGTGTTATTTCGCCTGATTAATATTTTGCTACATTATCAAAACGTATCACGTATAACTCTGCAACATTTTTAAATTTTGTTGGTACGTCGTTACGTTAGGTATGTATTGTGTTCTATCATGCGCTTGATCACTAAAACCGTGTGAGCATCAGACATAAGATACATTGCCCCTCCTAATCTAATGTCTGACCAGTGGACGAGTCTTTCTCGCTTTGAGATCTGTGAAGATCTGTGAATTCATTTTGCTGGTAAATGCTGCCTGTCATTAGCAATGGTTGCTTAATGGAATTAAATACTTATTGCGAGTCATCATTTAGCATACACTGCTTAAACCGAAATAAAACTTCTAAATAAAGCAGGTCCTGCGAGTCGAGGACCAAAAGAAAATCATGTTTATATTTTAAATGCTCCAGTAAATTACAAAACAAATAATTAAATATATATTAAATCCAATTCATTTAATATTTTCTTATAAAACATTGTTACTATTCGGTGTTAAGAGAAATCTGATTCGTGAGGATGGACATGAAATACTGACAGTCATGAAAATTTTTTGCCTTGTTAAAATTAAATACTTCATGCGAGTCATCTTTGAGCATACACTGCTTAAACCGAAATAAAACCTCTAAATAAAGCAGGTCCTGCGAGTCGAGAACCAAAAGAAAATCATGATTATATTTTAAATGCTCAAGTAAGTTACAAAACAAATAATGAAATATATATTAAATCTACTTTATTTAATATTTTCTTATAAAATATTTTTACTATTCGGTGTTAAGAGAAATATAATTCGTCAGAATGGAAGTGAGCTCGATTACGTTACATAAAACGAATCTTCCACTCAAATTCACAGGCACAAGATTAAATTAGGCATTCACAAAAAAAAAAAAATTAATGCCTTCTTTTCTGAAGGATACATACAACACGAATGATTTTGTTATTATTTAGGATTGAAGCTTTACGCCTGAGTATCAGTGCTGTATTTTTGCATTTCAGTTCCAGAATTCGCTCATATCAAGAAGTGGGAAACGGACGAAGTGATGGGACTTCTGTGTGTGTGGTACCACGCCGAAGGCGAAAAGCCGTCGTGGAAAATTGAAGATGTGCCTGAGATCAGCAGCGGAGGCTGGAAACTGTTCAAGCGCTACGAAGAGACCGTCACAGGTCACATTCGAGACCTCGCTGAAAACGGATCGGACATGGTGCACTTTAAGTATTTCCATGGACCAAACTTCTTTGTAACTGCAGAAGAGTTCTCGCAGAATGGCGGGGTTACCACTTGGGGGCGTTTTCTGACGCACATCTGGAAGGCCAATTGGCACACGGAGGCTCACAAATGCGTCGTGGACATGGACGCGGACATAAAAGTGTTTGGGAAGACCCCAAGTTTTCTCTACAACCGCTCGTACCTCAAACTCCAGGGACCAGCGCTGCTGGTTGTCCGCACCGATTGCAAGTTTGGAAAGCAGATCACAGTTACTTCAATCACTCCGGAAGGGCCGCTTCAAATACGGCTTATTCATAGGATGCACTGCGATCAGAGCACTTCATTCCTTTTTCGTCTGGTGAGCAGCAGAGCTTATCAGCTTTCGGTAAGTTTCTTTTTAACAGTCCTGGCTTCGAATAAATACATGCTCACACAAACAGGGCTGAGCCACACCAGAACTATTAGTCAGCGCTGGAAATAACGCTGACCTTGCTGAGGCAACGCTTGGTTGTCGCTATATTAGTAATACAACGCACACTCAGCGCTGCATCAGTGGAAAGTTACGTTGAAAATAACCTAACGTCAGCGCTTTTTCTTGTGTTGGTTTAGCGCTGCGATGCATGTCTAGCTTTCATAGGTGACTCCTGTTTTTCAATAACATGCTTCTGAATTGTGACGTTATACAGATTTTCGTTTTACATGCTATCTATCGCTCTAAGCTTAAAGTTTAAAGAACAGATAGAGTGCAGGTGAGCCGATGGAAAAACGACGTATTTCTGACGGGGAAAATTAAAACACGACATGCATCCATGCGTGCATGCGTGCATGTATGAGTGCATGTATGCGTGCATGTATGCATCCATGCGTGCATGTATGCGTGCATGTATGCATACGTGCATACGTGCGTGCGTGCGTGCGTGCGTGCGTGCGTGCGTGCGTGCGTGCGTACGTGCGTGCGTGCGTGCGTACGTGCGTGCGTGCGTGCCAAACAAAACATCATTCCTCTATGCCGGATGTCGCGCACAGGCGCAACTGTGCTTAGCGGGACTTTTTTATTTTGTGTTTATGACTACCTTGGATAAACTTTAGCTATTATTGAAACAAAAACACAGGGCGGCGCACATTTCATTCAACCTACTTGGGTTCCGATATTTTCTTCGCCGTTCTTATAGGATATGACGCCGCAATCCTATAGGTTACGTTGCGGTGCGATAATAAGGAGGTCAGAACTCAGGATTCAGCCCGTTTCTTACGATGTCAGTATCTACATCAGATCAGCCGTGAATACGGCCAGTCCTGCAACAAGCGGGCCAGTTTTAAAGCATAAATAGTTTTTGTATGTATAATACTTCCCGAAGAAATAAATAAAAACAATCATTTTGTCACCGAAACTGAGTACGCCGTCGCGGCTTTCCTCGAAAATTGATCAATGCCAACTTAAAATCGGCAAATATATGAAATGGCTTTTTGAAAAACAAAACAAGAGCCTTCTAGACGTCTTTTTTTTTCAATATTTAGTTCCAGAGAGACATGCTCGTGTGGAACAACAAGACCATCTGGAAGAATCCACCCCTGCAGAAAGAAGACCGAACCATAGCCGACTTCCGAAGGTGGTACCAGCAGTTTTACACCAAGAACAGCCCTACGTGGCAAGACGTCAGAGATCGCTCCCTGCAGTGGTGAAGACATTTTGGGGAAGAGACAAATGGTATACTTGGTTGAAGATTACCATATGTAGCAAAAAGAAACAAAATATTAACACGCGTGAACAATTTCTTGTCTAGTTGACTTTTTGTCTGGGATTTAATATTTTTAGTGTTCTGAGGAAATATGTATACATAAGCGCCATAATTGAAGAAACATTATATCTATGCAGAAACTTAGCCTTTTTTCGATTCCGCCTGAACACCCACGAGTGAAAAGGAGAACGTACAGTGTTTTTCATAAGTTTAGAGCCCATCGCGCCGCGCGGCCGGAGTGGAAAGGCCCCCGTGCAGCGGCGCTCTTACCGTAGGCGCCCGCTGGCTGCGAGATTTTTTTGCAGCGAGGGGGAACTTCGCTCTCGTTATTTGGCGCCACTTTGGCGAGCTCGACGCGAGTGCCTGAAGTTCCCCTTCGCTCTCAAAAACCTCGAAGCCAGCGGGCGCCGACGATAAAAGCGCCGCCTTGTGGAGTCGAGCCCACTCCGACCACGCGTGCAGTGGGCTCTGTACTTTTGAAAAAAATAATAGTTTATTTACTACATGCGCATTAGCTCACAAAGTAAGACCAGCTGAGTTTGAATTACGTTTACGCACAACATGCAGGAGTACGAGCCATTTCTGTCAACAAGTTACCCATCTACTCCAACCATACTTAGCTGTTATACTTATAAAACAGCCGAATTTTAAAGTTGGCATTGCACATTTTACCTCGTTTCCTGGTAGTATCGAAGTATAGTTTTTTTTTAGGTCTTGCAAATAAATGTAACGGGTAGAGGGCGGTAAGAAGTTTAGCGGTAAAATTGATAAAAATATGGGTTATTTTTTAATGCTGAAAAGGACTGTTAAGTATCTTTTGAACAAATTAAATCGGTCGCTTCCAAAATAGTGCATTTTATACATTATAGAACATTGAAGATAATATTCGCAGCCATCTTTTTTATATCTATAGTCGGTGACAAATCAAGAAGGCAGTAGAAGCTCCTTTCACCTCTTTCCACTTTAGCAGAGCGAACGTTGGAGAGGAGGCGACACCCCCTCCAGCGTTCTCTCTGCTGAAGTGGAAAGACATAGGAGGAGCTTCCACTTCGTCCTTGATCTGTCACCAACTCCGCAGTTTATATAATTATTTCATACTTTTTTATGCTAAAGCGTGGAACAGATTGTGAAAAACAATCTGAGATGAAATTTTCAGGTCTCTTAGGCTGTCTGGATAAATAAGCTTTGGGGCACAATAACGTCGTCTCCTTCATACAGCGTCACATTGAAAGGACATAAAAAATTCCTGCCATAGGTTCTTGACTGTGGAGACTTCTTTACGGCAACTAACGTTAATATCATTAGGAGTTAAAAATGTTTGTTTTATCAAATAACAAGTACCGACGAACGAGCTCTGTCACAAAACTTTGAAGATACACCTGTAGAAGTTCGATTCAAGATTTACAGTGTAAACGTTTTCTTTTCGTACAATTATCAAACGTTCACAACAATATTTGGAACATTTCTTCCCCGCGTTATTTAGTATAGGGCAGACAATGTGACGGCTCATTGTGTGAAAGACTGTAAAATCAACTTTATTAAATATATTTTTTACCAATAAGTCTTTATGCTAGCAGAACGGATTATGCATTATTTGCAGGGAGTTTTCAAGTTTTTATTCGTGGATGGCTCTTTCGTTGGTATTCAGATATTACCATCGGAAGCCGTACGTTATGCACGTTTACGATGCGTGTACGGTTGGTATGCTTCGTTTCAGCGTATCGGGGTTAACGGCGAAGGCTATGCGCCGAGGTACTGAGGAAGAGGATGAAACGAGACCACGCGGAGAGGTAAAAACGCTGAGCTCCGATCGCAATGGTTACTGGGTAGACCTAAAGCTAACTGTCTTTGACTCCACTGGACTTGACGAACGCGTTTGAATGAGAAAGTCAAACGCCAGACGCCGGCGTTCGGCTTTCTAACGCGTTCAATGAGTGCAGTGGACACAAGGACTGCTTTTGTCTACGCCGCACATGTCGAAAGCCTTCGAATGCGAAAGGTCTACCCACTAATCATTCTGACCAAAGCTCGGCGTTCTGAAGACCCCGTGCGCTATCGTATCCTCTTATCCCTCAGTTTCTCTTCTCATTGCTCCAGTCATCCAGTCACACAGTCAGAGCGAAGAACATCACAAAAAGATTTAAATGCAAAAGCCATCCGCAAAGCAGCAGAAGCCTAGCAAAACAACGGGCAAACCGGGTAAAGAACAAAAAAGCTACAGTATATATATATATATACATATATATATATATATTTCTGTTTTTGTTTAAATTTAGGTGGCGTAAGCTACCGCCGATCCATCCAAACACAATGGCGCTGGCGTGCAGTTTCGGGTTTGGTTTCGCTGTGCCGCCATTTTGATTTCCCGAGTTAAACTTTTCGACGACAAAATTCAAATCGATAACGACTTTTTCGTATGGGATGACAACACCGCCAGCCGAACAAAGCTGAGAGATAAGGTACAAAGTCCGAATCAATGACAATCGCGAGAGACAAAAACAAAACCGCTCAGACTTATCAATATGAACGCTAGAAGTCTCGTCAATAAAGTCAGCGAGTTAGAACATATACTAATGCTATATAATCCGCATATTGTCGTTGTCACAGAAACGTGGCTCAACGCAGACATAAAAGACGAGGAAATACTTCCACCTGCTTACAAGATGGTACGAAAAGACCGCCCAACGCGTGGGGGCGGTGTTGCTGTAATTATTAAAAAATCCATCGTGTGCCTAGTGATAGATGATCTTCCAGATACCGAAAGTGTATGGTGCAAAATTACTTTCTGTGACAAAAAGTATGTAATAGGAGCGGTTTACAGACCTCCTGATTCCCCACTGTCCACGATGGAAATAATTTACGATTTCACAATTGCTAACTTCATTAACGAAGATAACTTTATTCTTGCAGGTAATTTCAATCTGCCCAAAATAGATTGGAACAACCTTGAGGTAGGCGACGTAGACGTCAAATCATCTGAATTGCTTCTTGGTATGATGTTTAACCTGAACCTAACGCAAGTCGTAAATGAGGCTACCCGAGCGGAAAAAACTTCAAGCTCCGTACTGGATTTAATATTCGTCGGTACAAATTTGAGTGACAGTGTTGTGTCTTTGCACGATGGTATTTCAGACCATAAATTAGTCCTGATGACTTGCAATGTTGTATCATCAATGGCGGTCTCGAAGCGTCCGGTAGTTTATGTGCATGACTTTAACAACGCCGACGACGTCGATATCTTGGATTATCTAAAATCATCGTTATCTAGATTCGATGACGCGAAGGACGTCGATGACCTGTGGTGCCGTTTTAAAGACATTATCAACCACTGCTTAGAACGATTTGTTCCTAAAAGGAAAAAACGTATTTATAGGCAACGTCCGTGGATTACAAGGGACATTATTCAATTACAGCGTAGAATAAAACGAAGGCGACAGCAAAAATGTACAAACCAAGGTGGCGCTTCCCGTCTTTCAGATGAATTGAAATGCAAATTAAATCAGTCTAAAAAGCATTATTTTACTTCCGTTTTACCACAGTTTCTGAGGACGGCACCACAGAAATTCTGGCGATACCTTGCACCTTCAAAGGGGAAAATAGAGTATATTACGGAAAATGGTAAAAACGTTTTAGACCCGAACACTATAGCCAGACGGTTCAACGAATATTTTGGCTCTGTATTTGCTGAATCGAATATCACCGCGGATTTGAGCACTGGAGGTACCGACTCGCTTCGATCTATGCCGGACATCACTATCACCGAACAAGGAGTATTTTCACTATTACTAAATATTGATTCCAAAAAGTCACCTGGACCAGACAATATCCCTAATGAATTTTTAAAACGATATGCAGAGTGGATTTCTAAATACTTGACAATTATTTTTCGGGTCTTTTTAGAACAGCCTACCGTTCCCAGGGATTGGTTGTGTGCCAGGGTCGTTCCAGTTCACAAATCGGGAGATAAGCATAATGTAACAAACTACAGACCTATTTCATTAACATGCACTTCCTGTAAGCTTTTTGAGCACATAATTTCCAGAAGTCTTTACGACTATTTTGAAAGTTCAAAAGTTTTTTTATAAAAACCAACATGGATTTCGACGAGGGTTGTCCACAGTAACGCAGTTGCTTGAGACGTTTCATGATTTTTCGTGCTCGTCAAACGAAAGAGCGCAAATAGACGCGATTTGTCTAGACATATCGAAAGCATTCGATCGGGTATCTCATGAAGGACTTATAAGAAAACTAACTAGTTACAAAGTTAATGATCACGTCACTCAGTGGATTAGCGCTTACCTTAGAAATAGGAGGCAGTTCGTAGTTATTGATGGTGTTGCGTCATCTGTCTGTAGGCTGCCGTCGGGAGTCCCCCAAGGGTCAGTTCTGGGACCAGTGTCATTTTTATGCTACGTCAACGATTTGGCGGAAACAGTGAGCTCCAATATTACACTTAGGTTATTCGCAGACGACTGCCTGCTCTACACTAAAGTTCGTAGCCCTGCAGACCAAGAAAACTTAAACTTGTCGCTCGCCTCAGTAGATAATTGGTGTCAAAAATGGGGAATGAAGCTGAACCCGGAAAAGACTGTATTTCTCAGAATAACAAGCAAAAAAACATTCTTAGTTACAATTATAACATAGGAGATGTGTCTTTAACAGTAGCTGATCATTTAAAGTACTTAGGGGTAACGATAGCCTCAGATTTAAGATGGAAACTGCACGTAGATAGTATGTATCGTAAGGCTATTAAAACGTTGTGGTTCTTGAAGCGCAATCTAAGGCGTTCTCCGTTTAATGTAAAATTATCCGCATACACAACCCTGGTAAGACCAATCCTGGAATACGCCTGTGCTGTGTGGGATCCGTATAGGAAGAACCAAATTGATAAGTTAGAAAAATACAAAGATTGGCAGCCCGCTTTATCTGTTCAAAGTATGGTCG